TATATATATATATATATATATATATATATATATATATACATACATATACATACACATACACAATTATTTACAATAAAAAAAAATTCTAAGGCCAAGATTTTCAAAAATGAATGCCTAAATTTAGGCCTCTAAGTGGGGCTAGTCAAAATATTTTCAATGAAAAAATTTCTACCAAAACAAAATAGCTTTTTATTTTGATGACAGTTTTTCACACTATTTTTTCAGTTTTGTTTCAAACTGAAAATTGCCAGGTTTGGGGGGAATCTTCCTACATTTCTCTCCCCTTTTTTCCCCACTGGGATAGGACCGGGATGCAAAGGGAGAGAAAGTGGGGGAGAAACAAAACACAAAAAGCAAAACAAAACAAAAATGAATTTGATTCATTCCATCAAAAAATTCAAAATTTTGAAGGAAATTAAAATTTTTGCAAAAATTTCTTTTGTTAAAAACAGTGAAAAATTTTCAACCAGCTCTATTTCTGCATCTATATTTAGGTGCCTAAATAAATGAGCTGATTTTCAAAGTGTTGACCATCCAGCTATTCCTTTGGAGTCAGTGGGACTACTCACATGCTTAAGATTAAGCATGAGTGTAAAGTGCATGAGTCAGAGAGACTCCCATTGATTTCAGTGGGCCTTGGATCAGGTCCTGAAGGCTCCTCATTTGAGGAAGTACTATGTACTGACTTAACCATATGGGGATTCAGACACATCTATTGCAAAAATAGATGGACAGAGCATGAACTTATCAGGGGGGTTTATTCTGTTTGTTAATAAAGCCTGTAATGTAACGAAAGAAATCACTGTCTTTTTGCTCTTCTAGATAAAGGACCTTCTGAGCAACAAGGAGAATGCCCAGTACTTTGTAAAACTCCATATAATTGCTGGTCAGCTGAACACCAATAGCTTGAATAATATAGATACAATTTACACCTTGACTGGAAAGCCAGGGGAGATATTAAAAGGTGATAAGGTAAGAGTGGGTCTAAATTTTGCTATGACAGTAGCACCAGCAGGGGACTTCTTGCTTCTTTTATTTAATAAGGAGAATGACAGTCCCATTCAATCTGAGACAGGAGGGTGCAGTTAGATTTCTGGCTAGGAAATGCAGTCCCGTACAATAGCCAGAGTCCAAACGTTCATAGAATCATAGAATATCAGGGTTGGAAGGGACCTCAGGAGGCCATCTAGTCCAACTCCCTGCTCAAAGCAGGACCAATCCCCAGACAGATTTTTGCCCCAGATCTCTAAATGGCCCCCTCAAGGATTGAACTCACAACCCTGGGTTTAGCAGGCCAAAGAGGACAAGGGTGAAATCCTGGCCCCATTGAAGCCAACAGCAATGCTCCTTTTGACTTTGGCTGAAGCAGGAATTCACTCTTAGAATTCCAGAGTAACTTAACGGGTAACGAAGAAGCTTTTATTGATTAGTAAAGATGTTCTCTAAAATAAAGTCCTTGTAAACACAGAGACATGGTTTGCCCAGACAGCATACTACCCTCCCACCACAGTGATGAGCACGATACAAGAATCTCAATCAAATAGTAAGGAAAACAGAGTGGAGACCATTCAGATGGTGATAGAAGATTGCAGGCAGAGCCCTGTAGCTCTGTATGGAAGAGAGCAACCACAGCGGAATTATAGACCCTGTGGTCCATTGAGCCACAATTTGGTCACCCTTTTGAAACACATATTCAAAATAAGTCACCAATATAAATAAAATCAATATGACAAGAGTATTCTGAAAAAGGTGGGGTAAAGTACATCCCCGGTGCAACTCCAGTGATGTAAATTTGGAGTTTCATTATGGATGATTTGACCTCATATTTTCATATGGATGTGTACTACATTTAAAAACTCTTTTTAAAAGCAGGTAGTGTTGTTCATAGCCAAACAAATCTCTCTTGATTTCTTAAGCCTGTCTGATGACTGAAATCCAGCTCTCCTTATTTCTTTCTAGCATCTAAGGGTACATCTGCACTTAAACCGCTATAGCAGTGTTTCTCAAACTGGGGTCGCCGCTTGTGCAGGGAAAGCCCCTGGCGGGCCGGGCTGGTTTGTTTACCTGCCCCACCCGCAGGTCCGGCCGATCGCGGCTCCCACTGGCCGCGGTTCGCTGCTCCAGGCCAATGGGAGCTGCTGGAAGCGGCGC